TTAAGGTACTTGTATTGTTGGTACACCAAGGTCACACCTTAAATTTCAGACTCGAGTTGAACTTAAAAAGTCAGACCCTCAAAATCGTAGTGGGCATTCATTTTTTTTTTCTTCATAAGAATTTTCAGGAAATTGAAAAAATATATAAAGCTCCGTGGTTTGTTGAGGAACTTAAAAAGTTCTTATCTTTATTTGTTTTCAAGATTGTGTCTCCTTTAAAGGAATATATGAATTGTATTTATATTCCCAATTAGGTCAAAATTCGAGCCACAAGGTGAAATCAGAAGTTGAGTCAAAGTAGGAAAGCCATATCTAGAATCTCGACTTGAAATGCCCATGCGATTTCATGGTCAAAGAAATTGCAATCGCATGCAAGGAGGGGTTGACGTTGCTAATTACAATTATTGCTTGCTTGAGATTGTACTATGCTATACTTGCGAATTGTGATGACAAGGTGTACTCTTATTCCCCTTGTGCAAGTTTGTCCTTTATTCCATTTTTGTTGTTTATCTTTATCCTCCTTAATAGCATTGAAGGTCCTTCAACTTTCAAACTAGATAGAATTTTGTCCTCGATTTCTAGATTTTGGTCTCTCTCTCAATCATAATTGCTTGATTCTCGTTCCTTTTATCCCCAACAATGAATATCGGAATTTTTTTTGCTAAAACTATCACTAATCACACAAAATTAAATATCAAAGCTCGTCCTCCCAAATATCCAATTTTGATCTTTCAAACAAGTGTAAAATCATATTTTATCATAAATCTTACGAAATTGTTGTATTGAATTTACATACTTCACAGTTACAATTCAAAGAAGATTATAGCCAATTCATCAAACTTCTAATGCTTCAATCAAATCAAATGTACTTGTCAAACTAAATCTTGATTCAAGGTTAGAATCTGGACAGAAACCATATTTCCGTTCTCCAAACTAATTACTCGACTGACTCGGGAATTCCATCCAGTTTGAGGACAGTTGCCATTCCTTTGTTGGGTTGAAGAAAGTCAAGAAAGCACGCCCTCAAAGATGAAATCGTCAAAATCAAACCTCCATTGTCAAATGAAGAAATTTATACGCGGCGACCGTACCCCATTTGATCCCCTATTACAATTCTCCACGTGTCCCATATTCACTGGCTTATTCTGAGTCTGCGAATCATAACTTGTGGCTCCTCTTCCTCCATCTTCAAAAACCAAAATTGATATTATTTCCCTGCAGAAAAAAAAACCCTCTTTCTCTCTAAATAAATTGAAAACAAATAACCCATTTTAACGAGAACACACCTCGTTGCCTTTGTTTTAGGTATCGGAAGATCACGTTCGTGCTCCTTATCAGTCATCAAGCTCGAAAAATCTGCAGGTACGATTTTTGGTAGCATCATTGGCGCCGTCTGTGGGAAACGCTACCAAAAGCCATGGTGAACACACGTTCAGGTCTTCCACCAGCAAGCTCATCCGCTCCAAACCAACCCCCTCCTGAGGATATCCCTGTTCCTCAAGAGGAATCATCAGAAGTGCCAGAACCCCAGCCGGTAGTTGTCACTGCTGGAGCCTTTGAAGAGCTCAGACAATAGGTCGCCACACTGACTTAGCTGCTAAGTTAAAGAAATTCGCATCCGCCACCCACACCAGCACCCCATGGGGGTTTTATGGCTGATGCTCATGAGGGGGAATGTAAAAATTTTCTGGTACATTCGCTTTTATGTTGTAAAAAAGCTTTGGTTCTTGAAATGGATTCTACCGATGGAGTTAATCAACCATTCTGATATGGTTTACGAGAATAGAAATGTAAAATATTATAAAATTCGTATTTATTGTTCTGATACGGCTTATTATTCTGT